TTTGGAAAATATTGTTTTGAAAACTTTTGGCAAGTTAAATGAGAGTTTGAAAACATTGTCTATTTGTTAGCAATGGAAAGTAAATATTTAAAGTGTGAAAATTAAAAAGTTAAAAGAAGAAAGAGAACACCAAGAGTTATAGAGGTTCGGTCAAAAACAAAAAATGCATCATTCTCTCCCCAAGACTTGGTCTTGAGAGTTTCCAATAATACTCGAGAGCTTTTAGTAGAAAAGACTCACGAGCCTCCTTTATACAAATAAACGGTGGTTATCTTATAACCAAAATATTACAAGACATATGGTGTAGGTGTTTGCGTATTTTCTCTAATCACTTGTTGAAAGTGAAGTGGTCAAACTTTCTTCCCAACTATAGATTGAAACGACCAATCTTCTCTCCACAAACAAGGACCTTGTAGCGGTTAGTCTTCAAGTTTCAAAAATATCAAAGCTCAATTTTGGTTTAACAAGATAACTAAATAATTTCTGAGATTTTAATCGGGCTTATTGCTTAACCTATGAAGATTTTAATAACAGACTAAATCTTTAACCTATTAAGAACCAAGGGAATATATATATATATATATATATATATATATATATATATATATATATATATATATATATATATATATATATAGTATATATATATATATATATATAAATAAATAAATAAATAAGAACTGATCCCACAATCCCCAACAATAAGCTTTTAACGGATTTAGCTTAGAACCACATATATAATCCTATTTAGAAATATTCAACCAAGATTTATAAAAATAGTTATCTTGGTAAATTTATACAATTCTACCCTTCCAGAATTATAATGGTGACCTCACTCACAAATGATACTCTCCTCACAAATGCATTTACCAATAAGAACTAGTGAGGAAAAGTTAAAATAAAATTGTGTTTGTGTGTGTGTGTGTGTGTGTGTGTGAGAGAGAGAGAGAGAGAGAGAGAGAGAGAGAGAGAGAGAGAGAGAGCGAGAGAGAGAGAGAGAGAGAGAGAGAGAGAGAGAGAGAGAGGGAGAGGAGAGAGAGAGAGAGGAGAGAGAGGAGAGAGAGAGAGAGAGAGAGAGAGAAGAGAGAGAGAGAGAGAGAGAGAGAGAGAGAGAATGTCAATACATAAATTCGTGTTCTGGATGATTTGAAATGAGAAAGGGACCCTCTATTTATACAATTTCTATATGTTTTTTAAAGTATTTTATTTTGGTAAATCGTTTGAGAAAATGTTTTAGCGTATGTGTGCTTATAGCCATGTACTTCTATGAAAAAGTCCATTTGCTTTTATATAGTTTCACTCACTTACTAATTTAATATTTTTCTCTAAGCCTTGTTGGTTGTGATATTTTTTACATTGACACTTGCTTGAGATCTCTAGAGCCTTTTGATAGAATTCAGTTTTTTTTCCTTTATCTAATAGTCATGTTTATCAAACCTTTATATCCATGGCTTACATTTTTAAACACTTAAGTGAATTGTTTGACTTATCATTGGTTGCATCTTTATCATGATGGATGTCTCTATACTTTTCTTTATAGTTGTCATCATCAAAAGATGCTTGTCTTGGTTAAAAGTCCATTATCTTCAAAACAAGGTTCCACATGAATCAATAATGAGATAGTTGAAATGGTCATGGGTTCGATCCCCAACAACAATATATTTTGTATTTTTAAAAATGTGCTACTTTTTACCTCAGTTTTAAATAATAACCGAGGTAATAGGTCATATAAAAAATTAAAAATTAAAAAGGTTCTATAATGTAGTTGTTGGGATTTGAAGGTGTTTCTTTTAAATACTTTAGCTTCGATTGTTAGCTCAACCGGTGGAATATGTGGTATTTTAAAAACAAATTAAAATGTAACGCGTCTATGGTTTACACCTCGGTTTTTTGTTAGGTAGGGTGAAAGTTGTCATAAAATATATTATTTGTAGTAGTGTAACCCGAGATACTATTATAGTTAGTCATTTTTTTATATGTTTTGTATAAGGCGAAAGGAACTTAGCCAAGTAATGTATGAATTCTCTTTAAAACTGATTATTATCGTATCCGCATAAAGTAGACCCATTTTCAAGTTCATACAAATAATGGAACAATAGAAGATCCTTGCTCTACTCAGATGCAATATAAATATTGAACTTCCACTAGAAGATCATTGTCGCCCTTATAGGCAATATGAAATTTGGACTTCACGTGAAGATCTTTGCCGCCCTCAAAGGCAATATAAATGTTAGACTTCCAATAAAAGATCTTTGCCGCCTTCTGAGGAAATATAAATGTTGGACTTCCGCTAGAAGATTTGTCGCCCTCAAAGGCTATATAAATATTGGACTTTCACTAAAAGATCTTTTCCGCCCTTGGAGGTAATATAAATGATGGGATTCCAATGGAAGATCCTTGCCGCCCTTAGAGGAAATATAAATGTTGGACTTTCATAGGAAGATCTTTTCCTCCCTTAGAGGCAAAATAAATGTTAGACTTCAATTGGAATATTCTTGCTACCCAAGGAGAAATATGGATACAGAGATAACTAAAGAGTCTCTCCTGAGGGAATCAACTTAAAAGTATTGCTTGAGGGACTCAATTTAAAAGTCTAGTCTGAAGGACTTAACTTAAAATTCTTGTATGAGGGAGTCAACTTAAAGGTCTCTCTTGAGGGACTCAACTTAAAAGTTCCATATAAGGGAATCGAGTTAAAGGTCTCACTAGAGGGACTCAACTTAAAAAGTCTCGCCTGAGGTACTCGACTTAAAAAATCCCGCCTAAGGAACTCCACTTAGAGTTTTGAAGAGTTTCTCTCTGCAAGATTTTTTAATTCAGAGAATGTGTACTAGTATATTTGCAAATGATATACAAGAGGCAACATAAAATGCACCAAGGGCGGGAGAATAATATCCATCGCCTAGAGCAGGGCTACTAGTCGTCAATTTATCACAATATGCGCCCATTTATTACAATACACGCTCATTGTCGGGTACATTCGTCCACTTATAAAAATATGGGAAATCACGTTTCTTTATCCTATAAAGGTATGTGAGGTGGTAAAAGAAGGAAGCCATGTTCTCCATAATTATAAGGAGAATAACGACTCCACTTCACATGCTCATGAGTAGAAGGTGATTGCCACCCTCTTTGGTCCCAAGATCCAAGTCCAAGGGATTCCTTTAAATTCCCTAACTCTTGAGTTGATATGGGACAACAATTGACTTAGTAATCATCTAGATACATAGTTTTTCACCTTATGTGTGTGAGCTTTCTCTAACACCACAATAACCCTAAAACCCTCATACAACCTACACAACTAGGGGTTGTCACTCATTGTACTTTTACCAAGTACAAGGTGAGAAAAATACAAGAAAATGGAGAATTTTAATTGTGTAAGGTCCTTAGATTCTTTTCTATAACACACGATAAATAAGACAATTGTTGAAAGTAAAGAGAGTTAAGAAAAATATTTACGAAAGAAATTTATCTTGGTCACTTCACAACTTGAAGCTAGTCAAATCCCTTCACACTTGAAGAATTTTCACTATAATTAATCTTGATAACAACAACTACTAAAACTCACTAGTCTTATATTTCCTTACCTTAAACCTATGAGAACTTCATTGTCTCGCACCATCCGACTTCCTAACTTCACACTACATGTCTTCCTTGATTTACAAAATGAAGTTTGTTTACAACAACCACCCAGGGGTAAAAACAATAAAGCTAAAATACAAGTGAATAGTTTTCCTAAGAAAGAATAGCGATTAAAGTGCTTATGTATCTGTTATTCTTGCTAATATAGCAATAGGATGCTAAACACAAATTATGTTGTAAGAATTATAGTGTCAAAATTTCTTGAGTAAGTAAGTTGTGGTTATTCAACATTTCGTTCGTCCTTTTACAGAGGTATTAAATATTTGTGTGGTCAATCATTAGACATTTGAGAATAGAGTTGTTGGAAATTTTAAAAGTTGTACTGAAACTTATCCTTTCATTATTTATATTGACACAACTGTTATGATGTGACAATTGAGAGAATATTGTATGTGGCTTGAATGAATAAGGACTCAATAGAACATATCATTCACTAAAAAAAGGTCATCCTCCACATCTAGAAAACCATGGTTATATGCAAAATAATTGTGGTTGTAAGCTTTGGCCACGATTTGGCCATAAATAAGTGATTGTGTGATATGCAGCCGTGGCCTAAATTATATGTCACGATTTTCAAGTTTGGGCCATGTTTTCTAAACATTTGTGGCTTGAATAGGCCACAGTTTAGGTATCTAGGTTAAGGCTGCGGTTTAGCTTGCGTCTCAGCTATTAACAGTGGCCAAATCTATCCATGGTTCTTATTTAATTTATAGCCTACGGTTTAGTTGCCTAGGTTTAGCCACGGTTTGTTTATGGCCACTAATTAAAACTGCGGCTAAATCTATTGAGAACTAAATCTATTAACATTGTTTGAACTTCCCCTATAAAAAAAAAAGATATCCATGTATATGCAAAGAGAAACACACTAAAGATCAAAGAAAACTTGAAAGGTTTCATGAAGTACGGTTTTTAGTTGAAAACAATAGCCAATACTTTAAAGTCACACATTACATATTTTTTTAAACTTTATGTGAGTTTTTTGTGATGGAGGATAACTTAGACCATGTTCTAAAACTCATTGAACATAGAACATTCAAGGAGAATGTCTCAAGTTAGATATTAAAATCTAGTCTCTGACTAGAGTAATACACATACATTGTTTATGATGCCTAAATAAGATATTTCACAATTCATAACTTTAATATATAATGGTGTCTATAATCTCTTGAAGTGGAGCCAGTTCCTTTTTTTCAATCAGCCCAAACTCCTGCACAAATTATACCATTAACAGTATCAGATAGATATATATGCTCGCAAGCCAAAGAGCTTAGTTTAACGCACAACAAAATAGTGCAAAGAATGTTGACACTTACACAAGTGAAGACTATAAAATGCTTGAAGCAAGTGTTTAGATGAGCCTATTCTTTAAGGCTCACAATTTTCTGAAAGTGAGAATGATAAATATGAGCATATACATGGAACATCCGCTTGAATATTGTCTTCACGGCATCCTTAAAGTTGGTAGGAAATGGAGAATATGCATCATGATCCCACGGGTCTAATGATGAAAATAATAATTGTGATGACAGGGTATAAAAATCTATAGAATAAGAAAATGTTAAGTATTTACCAAGCTTCTGAGGGAATATGGATTCATCATCAAGTTGTGTTTCAACCCAGTCCATCAGATATTCTACATATTTTGGAGCAGATACCTTAATAGGTTTCTTAATTTGCATACCATTTTCTCATCGATATTCATACATGGAGTTTCGTGTAATTGATAACATAAGAATCATTTCTCTAATGTCAATGGTCTAAATCTAACATTGAATCATCATTTGAAAAATTCATTCAATTCATTATCATATAGTAGTTAAAGAAGCAAACAGTTAAAACAAATATTGATAAAGGTGAATTTAAAATTAACAACTAATTAAGGTAAATGGCTTTCAGTATGTTTCAGATTCAAAATTAGATCATTGAAGAAAAGAATTAACCCTGTTGCAAATAATGGCATCCTCATGAACTGAATATATAGAATACAAGTTCAACTACTTGAATATTCTTCTGTTCTTTCATAAATAGATTGATCTAAACTAGAATCATATATTAATAAGTTGTATAGAACTTATAAGATCCTATATATGAATTGATATAAACTAAAATCATAACAAAACCTATTAACATATATGATCTCTATGGAACATGTCATCGACCCTGGCACAAGGTTGTTGCTCTGTGTGAAATGAAAACAGATTCAACATAATTAAAATTGAAAAGTTTAATAATTTCATTAATATGTATGCATCAACCGAATACTAATCAACAAAGTGCTTGAATTCTCTAGAGTAAAGCACACTTGAAGAGAAGTTGTTTCATTGAGCAATTTCCATTGCAAAATTCATGAGAATGATTGAAATCTATGAAGAGTTTATGCTATGGGTTTCATGATTCTTGAAGGTTTAGAGTTTGATTTTAATGTTTTTTCTGTTCATTTAACAAAAACAAAACAAACCATTCAACTTCATATGTCAAAACTAGGGCGGGAGAAGACGGTGGCCTGCGGTGGGAGCCGCCATATTCTCAGGAAAACGAAACCAAAACTAGAAAAACCAAACACACACACCCTTTATCTTTTCCTTAGAATCCAAATTTGGCCTTAGATTTCTCTAAAACCTCTCAAATGGCCGGATGAAGTTGTTCCCAATTCAAACCCTAACTTCAATATCTCAACAGAAAACAAAAATGTGTTCAAGGAAACAAAACACAAGGAAACATAAAGCAAGGTGTGATACGGTGGGAGAACTGACTTGAGGGTTTCGTGTTTGATCTCAAATGTTATGGTTAGCAAGAGTCACCACCGACTTTTCTTTTATCCAAAAGGAAAGGTGAAAAAGCACAGGAAAGACCTTTAAGATTATTTCTTGAGTTCGGGGGGTAGATCATGAAAAGGGAAGGTATTAGCATCCTTTTCATCCATGGTTTTCCATGGGCTCTTAGTTACTTGCTAGATCACTTGCTTTTGTTGTTTGAAATTATGCTTTGTGTGGTTTTTGAAAGTATTTTGTAAAGAGGCCATTGTTTAAGCAATCTTTGTAATGATTCTTGTTCGTAAGAATGTATACAAAGATGTAGATCTTTTGAAAATGTTTTCAAGTTTGTAAGATGTTTTGAAATATGTAGGTAATTGTTTTGAAAATATCAAGTATGTTTGTTTTGAAATGGAGCAAGTAATTAGGATCAATCTACCTACTCAAATGTATTTCTTGTTCATTTTTTCCTTTGACATTGTATTCTTACCATTGATTTGGTAGGCAACCCTATCTTTGGATGTAAACGGGACGGGCGTCGATCATCGTATAACCATGATTAGCAATATTTCAAGATATCTTAGCATTCATTTTGAGGGACTAAGATCATTTGTAAGGAAACTTAGATAGCGTCATCGAGGGACTATGATCTTGTATTCTGCTTGTCTTTGCTAAGATACCTCACATGTGTAATATGGCCATTTTTGTAAGGCAACCAAGTGGATTTACCCTAGGGGTGTTTGTGTGCAAGTGTGTTGTTTTCATGCTTGTTTTAGTCTTGAATTAGGGTTTTCTAAATGTTGATTTTAGTCTTTCCATACAAACCCCAATTACTAGCATGTTATATGAAAGCGATAAATTGCGAAATTTAAAGTTACTACGCTATTACAATATTTATGGTGAAGGGGGTATACAATTTGTAAATGGGGATTGCAAGAAATTAAAACCCTAATTAGTCTATTACAACCAAATTGAATTTATACAAGAATTGAAATAAATAATGCACAAGATGAATTAAATATGCAAGAAGATAAATGTGAAGAAAAACGGATATTTTGTTTGATGTTTTATGAAAAGGAATTTTACCTTGATCTAATAAAATAAAGAAAATAATTTATTAAGTTTGAAATTGTTGAGAAAAGATTTTAGATGAAAACCCTAATTCTATTAATCAAAAGAAGATAAGTTAAAGAAAAGTATTTTTTTGGTATTTTTTATCTTGAAAATATTTATAGCATTATAAAATATTTTTTAGTCTTTTTGGTATTAAAATAATATATTTTAAATGGTGTGAAGAAAAATAAATAAAAAATACAATACTAATTAATTTTATAAGATTTACTTAAATAAACAAATAAAGTATGAAGAATAAAAAATATTTTTATTTATGGAAAAATAAAATAAAATAAGTCAAAATATAAAATATCATTTTTTGCATTTTATGATTTTTTGTATTTAAAAATAAATATATTTAAGAAAAAATAAATGAAACAAATTAATTAATTAATTAATTGGGCCAGGGGGTGCCAAGAGCCAGTATGGAGGTTAGTCAGCAAAAACAAAAATAAAAGCTAAGTGTTGTGCAGCAAGGGTGTTCGGGAGAGTTTTAGGATGCTTGAAATTGTCCCTTAGCTTGCAATAAACTTGTTAATATGTATGGAAAAGATTAGAGCACAAAATCACTCCAGGTTTCTGAGTTATAGGGTTATGGCTCTATAACTTGCTTTTGAAGAAAAGTGAAATGACAATTCTCAAGCATTGTACAAGCATGTCCTAAGCTTCTTCAGGCCTTAGACAACTTGATTTTGGATTATAGAGGTTGTGTATGCAGAAAGAACGAGTTAGAAGCTCAAGACAAGTTGACTTAAAGCAACTTTTCAAGAATGGAATGGTAACTTTCTTCCTAAAATGGTAAATTGGCTTGGACAATGCTTGGAACACTTGGATAATAGCTCAAAAGCAAGTGTAATATTCTGATTATGGAGAGATCTTGAGGTTTAGAAGCCTGCAAAACAATATTGTGTAGCATATGTTTGAAATTGGATTCTTGTTCATCACAAAATGCCTTGTAATTCAAGTGACAAAACACCAACTTCATCTCTTCGATTCTCCCTACTCAAGAATGATCTCAAGGAGTTCTTGGACATTTTGGAAATCTTGAAATGTTCTCTACAACCCATATTTGAATTGCTTTTGAATATTCCCCTTAGAACTATATTAAAAAGTGCCATGTACTTGAGTTAAAATCCTGACCAAATTAGGACAAAATTTCACTAAGTGTTTAGTTTCATGACCCTATGTTCTTGAAATTGTAACTTGAGATCCAAGCACTTTTGGAAGAAGTTGTGTGTAGAAAAGTTGTATATTTCATGGAGATCTACAACTTTCATGTTGGAAGTTTCTTTTGAATCATCTTGCATCATGGTGAAAATTTGGCTCAAACTTATGAAAAAAACATGAATTTTCAACACTTTCTAAGTTTACAAATTTTGACTTTTCAAAATGAAATCTTGACTTTTTGATTTCTTAATGAATAAGTTTCATATTTTGACATGTTTTGATATATTGTGATATTTGGCACTTGAGTTTGACCAAAAAGTCAAAGTTTGACTTTTTAGTGTATAGTTGACTTTTGATCAGTTGACTGCAAAATTCATTTGTCAATCCAATGGACTTGCAATGTTTGAAACCATGTCCTTAGGTTAAAATTATGAAATTGGACTCTTGAGATCATGCCTTAAACCAATTGACCATTTGCTAGGTCAAAAACCAGAAATTGCCCTTTCCAAGTCAAAACCCTAATTTTGACAATTTTGCCCTTTTGGGGATTTGATCAAATCTCTTGAGGAATTATGGTCAAAACTTGATAAAATGATACATATGAGTCTAAAATGTTAATGTGGATAAAAAATCATGAAGTTTGACTGTAAATTGGCCATAGTTGACTTTTTCCCCAATACAATTAATTTTTAGGTCAATTGTTCAATTGATTGAGCAAAAATGTGATCCAAGGCTTGAAACTTAGCATGAGTAATCTTGGGGGTCCATAATGGTCCATGAAAGTCATATGAAGCATTCATAGTTCAAAAATCCTTGTGCAAACTCAAACCCTAATTTTGGTCATCAGTGCCTAAGGAGGTGTCTTGAGCTGATCAAACCCTAGTGCAGTCTTGAGCCCAAGGAGATCTTGTGAGAAAATTTTTGATAAGTGAGAGGGAAAATTTTTGGGTAGAACAGCTGCCCCTGTTCAATCTTCTTAAGCCTGAAGGGTTAGATTGGCGAGTTTCGCCATTCGTGGCTCGAAGGTCGAAGATGATTGGACACTAGAGTGCCCTAAAATTTGCACTCGGTGATATGCTGGTTGAGAGAATGGGATTAAAGATGCCATTTGGAGAGGTGATAGAAATTTATAGGAGATGGGCTTAAAGATGCCGTCCAAAAGTGATTGTTGACAGAAAAAAGGACTAAGTCCGACCTTGATTTCAAATGGGAACGAATCAGAATAGACCTTTGAAGCGATTTATTTGAAACAGAAAAAGCACCTACTAGGAAAGAATCAGAATAATCATTTAGAGATTTGTTTGAACCAGAAAGGGTTTTAAATAAGCAACAGAATAATATTCATAATTGAATTATATTTGACTCGTATCTGAGATATGTATTGAATGAGAGTCATAATGAAATCTGTATCTGGACTGTATCTGAAAGCTGAATCTGAATAAGTATCAGGATGGCATCCGTATCTGGAGCATATCTGAACTGTATCTGAAAGCTGAATATGAATGAGTATCAGGATGGCATCCGTATCTGGAGTGTATCTGAACTTTATCTGAAATCTAAATCTGAATGAGTATCAGGATGGCATCCATGTCTGGAGCGTATCTGAACTTGTATCTAAAATTTGAATATGAATGAGTATCAGGATA